GGGAGAGAGAACGGCAGCTGCAACGGCAGGGCCATAACATAACGTTTCATTAGAGATGAGCTGATAAACATGCAAGCTGCGCAGCAGCAGCGAGTCCCACACTACCGACAAAAGTGTCACTGGCATGTCATTTACAGAAGAACTCATTCAAAACAGATCGCTATTAACTAAGCAATCTTTTCACCAACTGCTACTTTTCCACTACAACTAAATAAAAATTTACATACATGTACATATGTATAAACATGGGTGCAAAATGTATGAAGCCCAGAGGAGCAAAACCTCCTTGACACTTTCATCGCCTGTCAACACACACATGCGTCCTCTCATTCTTTGGCTGCTTGTGTGGGTGTTTTGTTTTTCGGTGGCCCTAAAAAATTTCACAGTTTCTTGTTGTTGAGAGGGTTAGAGAGGGTATAGGCGGAGGTCGGTGGGTGTTGGGTGTACAGGAGGGTAGGGACACGGGCTATGGGTGACCAACAACGCGGCGCAGAATGGTGAAAGGGCAGAGCGAGTCCGGGGAGTTATCCCCCGCTCTTGTGGTCGGACGCACGACAACAACAGCGTTCAAATTTGAGTGGTCACGGGTGTTGTGTAGCGAAAAGGATGGTGTGTGAGAGGAGAGGAGATAGTGGGTGAGTGTGGACAAAAGGAGCAAGAGAGTGTGGATGGTGGACCGTGAGCGTCAGTGTGCGTGAAGCGGGGGCTTTGGCACGCCAATACAATAACAAATTTAAGGCACAAAGGATTTAGCATGTGGCACGGCTTACACTCTCCTCTGCGGTGCTCCGCCCTCAAGCACCCGTTGCTCTCTCCCTCTCGCTGTCTCTCTCTGTCTCTTGCACTCAATCTCTGTTCTGTCCTTCTCTCTCTTTCTCCTGTCTCTTCGCAAATTTTTGTGCGTGCAAATTGAGTTGCGGGGAGGCAGCAGAGCAGAGCGGAGCGGAATGGCATGCAAATGGAGCAGAGGCAGAAGCAGAAGCAGCAGCAGCAGCAGCAATGGCAACGGCAACTGAGGAGCTCTGGCGTTAAGCTTTAAGCGAACATTACCAGCGATTACCTTACCCCGTTACCGTAACCGTTACCGTTAGTTGCTGCTCAAAACAAGCTAAAGCAGCAGCAGCACGCAGTGGCAGCGCGGGTGAGCTGCCATGCGAACATCCTCCTAAGCTCATCAAAGCAGCGCGACCCGAGCATCGAAGCAGAGAGAAAGAGAGAGAGAGCAGAATGGGAATCTGCAGAAGACGAAGTTTTTGATACACTTTCTGATCGATCGTTTAATTTCCATTCTTCCCGCTGAAAGCTCTATTTTGCTGAGATTTATCAGAGAAGGGTATGTTAAACTACATATATAAGTTATAGATATTCGTTCTGTGGTGCTGCAAACAAGTCGTCAAAATCATATTGCCAGCTGCAAGAGTATACAAAAGCGATGACAGTGTCGTTCAACGAGGTACGAGTATATGCGATTGCGATTGCGAAAGAGGATGAGCAGGATGAAGGAGCGCACCAGCCGGAATGGGAACAGGAGCCTGAGCAGAAGCTCAACGGCAGTGGCAGTGGCAGAGAAGTGTACAGAAAATGGCCTGGCAACGGTAGCGGGTAGAGGGATAAAGTTTGATTATTTGACTTCGATAAAGTTATCAATTGGCAGTGCACACAATGCAGCGCCAACAAGCCAGCACCAACACCAGTCGGCAGCAGCAGCATCCCTTAAGTGATTAAATGCCAGTTTCACTCAAGCATCCAATTACACTTGCCATCCAGCCAGCCAGCCGCTTGATTGGGATTGATAGATTGCTAGATTGATATCCGCGCTGAAGGATACCCTAGCAACAAGCAACAAGCAACCATCAACTAGCAACAGGTATTTTCACAGCAGAGTGCCACTAAATGGTAAATGGAAAATGGTAAAAGGCAAAAGCTAACTGGTTAAAGTTGCAATGCAATTTGCAGAAAGCTCCTATGGTAATAGCCAGCACATTAATTCACCTTCCCCTACTGCCCCACTGCCCCACTGGTGCGGTGGAACGGTGTTTTCATGCTGCAGGAACACAGAGTCTCAATCAACCACACTTGCACCTGCACTGCAGACCCGGAACCATCCCCAGCATTGTTACAAAGCGGTGAATGCAATAAATTGCATAAAACTCTGGACCTCCTTAGAGATGGGAGCGTGCAATGAAAACTTACAATTAAATGCTCTTTGGTTACTTTCTGCCCGCTCTTGTGTCTCGCCAGAATTACTCGCACCTTTCACCTCTCGCTTGCTTTTCTCGTCGCTCGTCACACAAGTTGATAGCTCATCACTCTCCTCGTTGAGGGATCCTCTCGTCACTCGCTCACGACCTACGCACATCTGCGTCTGCGACCATCGCCAGCCCGAGATGCAGGTAACGAGCAAACGGTTCCAGTACCATTTTGCCGAGAGTGAGGGGTATACATACATAAACTTAAAGCGCCAATGAGGGACATTCATTACATTATTGAGGTGGCGATGGCGATGGCCGTCGATAGCTTGCGGCGGAATGGGGGGTATGTGGGTGGCAATGTGGCGATGCGGTGGCAGGGGCAGTGGCAGTGGCACTGACGGTAGAGTTCGGCTCGTGGCCTGGCATCCTGGCTCCTGCGGTGTGGAGCTTGGGCATTAGTTTGACATTTACTTGGGCACGTCGTTAGCAGCTGAGTGCCACAAGCATTCACGCATGTGAGTGTGTGCTGCTGCTGTTGCCCGTACACAGCGAGAAAATATGAACAAAATGCTCCTACCTAGTATGCTATAAATGGGAGAGTTTCAAGGGAAAGTTGTGTGACCAAAGAGGTGTCTGCAGAGAAGAGTTTTTGATCGGGAAAGCTCTGGATGTTGCCATACCATGGGCATTATTTGCTACGATTTTCGCTCAGTGCAGCCCTGTGCATTCCTTCTCTCTCTCTAATGCTCTCGGCAATTCAAATAGTTAAAATTGTTTGAGCTTGATTTAGGCAGACACACACACACCTTGGCCGCAGACACACCCACCCACCCATTGGGCCGGGGCAGCGTCAAGTTATTTAAAGCACTTTAGCCCATAGCACCAGCCATCGTGCTCCACAGAGGCACAGGCGCAGCCACACTCTCTCTCTCTCTCTCTCTTATAATGTGGCTCCGGCCAGACCGAAAGCACAACAAATTAAGCCTTTTAACAAACACAAACAAAAGTCCAATTTGTTGCCAAGTTGTGACGCTGGCCAAAATGCAAAGCCGTTAACTACAGCCACCCACACAGAGCCACACAGCCACTCGACAGTCGACTGTTTCCGCCCTCCAGATTGTCGGAGGTGCAAAAACTTTGGCGTCCATCCATCCATCCGTCCCTCCGTTCGCCTGCTCTCGCCCCTGCTTCCTAGCTTCTAGCTACTGTTTGACTTAGATAATAGCGCAAAGAAAATTTTGCCATGGGCCACGGTCCCCGTCACTCCCTGAACGTGAACCTGTGTCTGTCTCTGTCTCTGTCTCTGATTCTGCTTCTGAGTCTGTTACTCTTTCTTTTGCTGTTGCTGCTTTCAGTGTATTTTCTGTATCTCTAGCTGATGAAATAAAACAAATTGTAGCTATAGCGTGGAAAAATTTCGAGTCTTGCCTTGGTTTCGTCATGCCTTTTATGGCCATGCCACTGGGCATGGTCATGGCAATGGCCCACTCTCCACGGTGGCACAGTGGTGCCAAGTCCATGGGGGAGGCAAGTGCAAAGGACTTGCGTGGAGCAATCAGTGCAAAGAACACATTAAATAAATTAAGCAGCAGGAAATGTCATCATCCCTATAACCAGCTAACCGCTTTTCAGCTAAGCTACCCTCTAATTCTTTCCGATTGTCCGAGCTCTGAAATCAAATCTTAATTACTATCAAATTGTGATCTAGCAGGATTAGGCTTCGGGCCCACTGTGCCAGAGAATTGGTGCAAAACAAATCACGGCATACGCCAGCAACCGTTCCGTTCCGTTGCGACTAGACCACAGCGCACTAAGCTTCTACATGAGTAATCGTAATCCCGAAAAGTTTTGCAGGGAAACCAACTCATAACCCGTAATCATCGCAATTAGTTTGCCCCGATGACGACGACGGCGACGGCGACAACTGTTGGCCGAAATGGTACGGCTGGTAACAGTAACTGCCATATCCCCCTGCCCCATCCCAGTCCGACAACCGCCATCCGCCCAGAGGCGTAGATCCCCGGCAGCAGACGTAAATCAGTGGGCCGCTGCCATGTCGTCATCGTCGGAATCGTAATGAAAGCGGGCCAGGAATGATGTGTGGTAGCATAGCATATGCCATAGCGATTCAGACTCCTAGGATACCCGTTTGGCAGCGTGTGTAGAGCTAGCCCAATGGCCAGATATGGCCGCCAGAGCCTTTTACAACTTGTTAATGGCCTTGGATAATGAACACTTTGAGGATTAGTTGAAATTAGACGGGTATAAAGTAAAAATTGAGGCTTACAAATATGGGGTGCACTCGCGTATCTGACTCTGGGAGTGCAGCCATTACAGCCAATTACAGAACCCATCCATGAATGCCGGCATACCCTTAAAGTGGACCTGACCAGTCAGGGGGTAACAGAACAGCAAATCAGTAACCAAATCACGGTGGCCATAAAGCACCAGTAACTCGTAGCATCCATCCCCCATTCGTGTGCACAGTCGCAGGCTGAGTGATCATCATATACGATGTGTGGCCAGATACAAATACAAATACAAATACAGATGATGGTGATGCTGATGCTGATGATTAGGTGTAGGTGTAGGTGTAGGGGTCTGATGGGGCCGCTTAATAAACCGCTAACCAAACACCAACTCGCACAGGTACACAGATTCATATCGCATAATTGTTTCTATGGCTGTTGGCCTGCCTGATAGTCTACAGGGTAAGCGGACAGTCGCCAGTCGCTGTCAACAAACACTTGATGGTTCCCACTGGGCGTGATTTAGGGGACTAGCTGCCTCTAGCAGATATAACCTAACCACCGCACGACTCCGATTCAGTAAGCAGCCGCGAGTCCAGGCACAAGCAACACACGATGAGCCAACAACTGGCGGAGAATCTACCCAAGCAGCTGCTGCCCCGCAGCGATGCCAAAGAGCAGAGCGAGGAGGAGGAGGCGCCAGTTCCGGCTCCAGTTCCGGCTGGGGCTGCACCACCCACACCCGGAATACCAGCGGACTTTGAGACGGCTATCGATGCGGCGGGCTTCGGAATGTTTAACATTCTGCTGCTGGTGGCCGCTGTGCCCGCGGCCATGGGCACCGTGTACGAGACCTCGACCATGTCCTACATCCTGCCCAGCGCCGAATGTGACCTGAAGCTGAGCCTGCTGGACAAGGGCATACTGAATGCCATCACCTATGCGGGCATGATCAGCTCGGCCGTCTTTTGGGGCTACTTTGCGGACACCAAGGGCAGGCGCAAGCTGCTCATCTATGGCTATGCCATAGACACCATCTGTGTGCTGGGCGGTGCCTTCAGCCAGAGTGTTGTCCAGCTGATGGTCTTCAAGTACTTTGGAGGTTTCTGGTGAGTTCGAAGGCAGCCCCACATTAATTTCTTATTCCAATTAACCTACCCAATCCACCCACACAGCATGAGTGGTCCTTTTGCCGTGCTTATGACCTATCTGACGGAGCTGCACGGACGCCAGCATCGTCAGCGCATTATGATGATTGTGGGCATTATGTTCTCCATAGCCACACTGACGCTGCCTGGTCTGGCCATGCTCATTCTGCCCCAAGACTGGGAACTAAACATTTGGAGTTTTAAGAGTAAGTACCGAGTAGCGAGTGGCGAGTGGCGTGTGGCGTGTGGCGTGTGGGCATTGACGATTGGCGTGTGGCAAGGGCGTGTTACGTATTCTCACGATAAGGTCACGATAAGAAATATCTTAGAGATAAGCTGAGATAGTCTCCCACAAACAGCTGATGAATACAGATTACAGATGGGAGGCCCCTTTCTCAGCCAGAGATTTCACACCTTTATTGGGCGGATCAAATGAAATATGACCCTAATCTAATCCACATTTTATCATACCATTCACAGTGACTGCCTGGCAAATGTTTGTGGCCGTAACAGCACTGCCCAGCCTCCTCAGCTCCATGCTGTTCCCCCTGTTTCCCGAGAGTCCAAAATTTCTAATGTCCAGAGGTCGCAATCAGGAGGCCCTGGAGGCCTTCCAGTTCATGTATGCCCTGAACACCAGAAAACTCAAGGACTCATATCCAGTAAGTATTTTCCATACAATCCAATGCGATTCTCTGAGCCTCTAAGCTGTTTTCTTGGTGCAGTTTAAAGTGCTGGCCAATGAAGTGCCCGAGCAGGTCACCAAGCACAAGGCACACACGGAGGTGAAGCTGCCCATCGAGAGCTCTGAGGCCGCCTGTGCCCCACCAGTGGATCCCGAGCTGGCAGCCGTGCCCAAGAGTGGGCTAAGTGCGGGCCTCTCCCAGCTGCGTCCGCTGTTCACCAAACCCTACCTGGGCCTCTCGCTCTGGGTCTATCTGCTCAACTTTTGCGTGCTTCTGGGGTGAGTCGGGGTCACCAAACACAGCACAGAACGGCTCTAATGGCGCGCCTTTCTCGCTCTTTCTCGCTTCCACAGTCAGAACACGATGCGTTTGTGGCTGCCACAGCTGTTTGCCTCCATCAACGAGTTCGAGCACCAGGTGGGCGGGCCGTCGGGCGAGACGAGCATCTGCAGAATACTGGAGTTCAGCGTGAACCGCACCCAGAGCAAGCTGATGGCCATCACGGATACCGCTGCCGAGTGTACGGTGAATGTGACGGCGGCCACGTACACAAACAATCTGATTGTGGCGGCCGCCGGACTGGTGGCCTACATGCTGGCCGGCTTCCTGGTCAACCTGGTGGGCGTCAAGCGGATAATGAGTGAGTGTATATGTAGGCCGTGCAGAAGGAGTGCGCTTCTTAAATCCCATCTTAAATGCCACTTTCAGCTGTGGGCCTATTTTGTGCCGCCTGCTGCTCAATTGGCATGTACTGGTCGAGCTCCGCTGCATCGACAGTGGCCATTGCCTCGCTGTTTGTGACCATGGGCAGCATATCGGCCACATCGGTGATCAGTGCATCGGTCAGTCTGTTTCCCACATCCCTGAGAACAATGATTGTCTCCCTGGAGATGATGTTTGGCCGACTGGGCTCACTGCTCGGCAACATCTTCTTTCCGGCACTGATGGGTCTCGGCTGTGTGCCGCCCTTCTTCATGATCAGCTTCTTTATGTTGGGTAAGTCCAACCGATACGAGTACGTGCCAGAAGTCCACTCCAAAATATGCTTCTTCCTCTTTCAGCTGGCTGTCTAATGGCTGCCTTCCTGCCGCTCAAGAACAAAGCTGCACTGAAGTGAGGACATACTCCAAATCCAATTGCCATTTCCCCCACTTTCCCCATTCCCCATTCCCACACCCACTCCATGGGGTTGGCTTGTACATAGCATTTAGCTCTAAGTTTAGTTATTCCTTTCCACTTTGTATGCCCTTGCAGTGGTTGCTTCACAGATGGCCTGTAGCTATCCCTCTGGGTTGCTCCATGCTATGCAATTCCTTGCTTCGGCCTGCCGAATGACATTTTTTTTTTCAATTTTTTTTTCTATTTTTTTTGTTGTGTTTGTGTTTTTGTGTTTGTATTTGTGTCTCTTCCTTTGCTTTAATTAAAAGTTAATTTATTTAAGAACGAAACTTTCTGGGATTAAGCAATTTGTATGCAATTTCCTCTCGCCTGTCAATTACATGAATTCCTCTTCATCAATTTCCATAAACCGTCGGCACTTGTGAATGCATTCCGCTCGTGAGGTATCAGGGCAGGCACAGGGTCAGGGGCAGGGCCAGTAGCGTAAAACTGAGTGCACACACAAATCAGAGAGTCCAAATCAGTGGGGAAGGTATGCCGAGACTTTGAATGGCATTCCTTGGCTAATCATGCCGGAGGGGGCACAAATTGATGTGGAGTTATCGAGAGAGCGAGTGTGGCTGAAGCACCACTCTCCAGGCTGATGGAAACTAATGATTGCCCCAAAACACTACACTGCCCTGCCCCAGCACCAGCCCCGTGCCCTGCCCCCATAGTTAGCACTTGTTTCGTTCCCATCTCGCACCATCGCCACATCGCTTCATGGCCTCCAGCTGCTGTTTCCATCTCCATCTCCGGCACCGGCACTGGCACTGGCAGTGGCATCAGCTCCCGGGGCCTTATCTGCTCGGCCAGCTGGCGGGGGCGTTGATATACGAGCGCGCACTCAAGCCAAATGGAAATGCTAATTATCTGACAACGGAGAAACGGCGCATAGAAGACGCTCCTCAGCTTAAAGAAGTTAAACGGAAAAGAACTTGAGATGTGCTTCAGTCTACCGACTGTGGGTTACCCCTGCCTAAAGCTCTCAAATTGCTTAACTGGCGAATGGATATTAGATATAAGATACACGGTACGGAGTATTCCAGTTACCATCAAGCCACATTTGAATATAAACAGCGATGTGCTCTGGCATTAAAAGTGTACAAAGGAAAGCCAGGTGTTCAAAGAGCCACAGCACGCTGAAACTTGTTTGGTTTCGCTCATGCTGGCTATAAAATTAATCTGATTGCCATGAATTTTTGCCATTAAGTAGAGACAATAATTATTAATTATCTTGTCAAAAAAAAAAAAAAAAAATATTAACCTCAAATGGGAAGCCTAACGAATGGGATTTCAAAGGTAAAATCCGAATCTGTGATTGTACCAAGCCACTCCACACACTCCATATACCCCTCTGCTGCGCCACTAGCAATGGATATGATTAAGCACTCGTTGGGGGAGGTGCACGCGCACCCATTTAGGAGGCCCGTCTTAATCGGGCGATAAATATATAGATGTATGTGTGTGTGTGTGTGTGTGGGGTGTGGGGAGCAGAAAGCTCTTGGACGGCGCTTAAAATGATTTCAAAAACGTTGGAAATCAGACAAACACACAAAACTTTTAATTAAAAACTTTTTGGCTCTAATGCGATGCTAGAGCATCGATAGCGCCGGAAAGCCCGTCTCCAAAAGAACGCAGTTGTTTGTGGGTTCTCTCTCGTCTCTCCACACAAAACAGACCTCAACAGGTGGAGAGAGGGGGGTAGAACAGTTACAGTTCTGTGTCTGTAATCTAATCAGGAAATGGGCCAGAGCGATCGAGAGAGAGAGAGAGAGAGCCCTGCTCATAAATAGCCGGGTAGGGCGGATCGCACCTCCAGTCGTTCAGGATGAGTCTCAGCGAAAAGGTGGTGATCGTGACGGGCGCAAGCAGCGGCATTGGAGCCGCCATTGCCCAGGTGTTGGCTCGCGAGGGGGCCCGTCTGGCGCTGGTGGGTCGCAACGTGGCCAATCTGGAGGCCAGCCGCAGCGCACTGCAGCAGCAGGTGCAGGGCGTTCGGGCGGAGATCATAGCCGCTGACGTGACCAAGGATGCGGCGCTCATTGTCCAGCAGACGATCGCCCAGTTCGGGCGCATCGATGTGCTGGTGAACAACGCCGGCATCCTGGGCAAGGGCGGCCTCATCGATCTGGACATCGATGAGTTCGACTCGGTGCTAAACACAAATCTGCGCGGCGTCGTTCTGCTCACAAAGGCGGTGCTGCCGCATCTGCTGCTAACCAAGGGAGCCGTCGTCAATGTGAGCAGCTGTGCCGGTCTGCGGCCCTTTGCCGGCGCCCTTAGCTACGGTGTGTCCAAGGCGGCCCTCGATCAGTTCACCCGCATCGTGGCCCTCGAGATGGCGCCGCAGGGCGTGCGCGTCAACTCGGTGAATCCCGGCTTTGTGGTGACCAACATCCATCAGCGCATCGGCATTGTCGATGAGGAATACAATGGCATGCTGCAGCGTGCCATCGCCTCCCATCCGATGGGCCGCGTCGGGGACGTGTTCGAGGTGGCCGAGGCGGTGGCCTTTCTGGCCAGCTCAAAGGCCAGCTTCACCACCGGCGCCCTCTTCCCCATTGACGGTGGCAAGCACAATCTGACGCCTCGTTAATCATCCGGCTCCTCCGCCTATAATTACACTCCCCCACGTATATTTTTTCATTTCCTTTTCACTTTCCCTTACTTTTTTGTTTTGTTTTTGTTCAATAAATAAATAATAAGCAAACCGACGCTTGTGGAGGAGTCATCTGTGGGCTGGGGGACTGGCAACTGGTGCCTGGGGGTGACCCCGAAATGACCGTCATGGCTTTGCTGTGTCAGACACTTGACAGACTCGTTATCTATCCATCAGCCGGCACTGATAAGATGCACTGTCAGCAGCAACAGAAGCAGCAGCAGCAGGGGAACATGTTTGCTTCTTTGGGGTAATCTCCGCTGGAGGAGCCTTATCAGAGAGACACTCCAAAATAACAACAGTCGGCCCTGGGTGAGGGGGGGAGAGTGGCTGCGTGTCGGACGCGTGTTCCCCTTGTTTTGTGTGTGTGGTGGCGTTGCCCGTTGGTAATGTAGGTCATAAATGTCATCGTCACAAATAAAAACAGGTTAATATATGCCCGTGCAGGGGGGGCATTGTGACAGCTTTTGGGACTTGTGGTGGTGGGAAGCTCACGACCGGTTTAAGAGCTTTGCAAAAGCTCCCACTTCTGTCTTAATCGCGATCACAAAGAGCAAACGAAAACTTTGACTTAAAAAGCTTTCAGCTTAAGTTTCAAACGGAAAGAGCAGAGACAAACTTTGAAGGTTTCGAGCGGCTGAAAAAGGGCGAGAGTAGAAGCTCCGTTGAAAGCTCCCTTCACTTTTAAACAAACGGAACGACGTTGCAGGCCTGCAATTCAATAAAAACAAATTGCATATTGGAATCAATGGTATCGAAAACAATAGTAAAATTACATACAGTATGTACATAAATATGTACAGATGTACATATGCATGTATATGATTCATAATTTCTCTCGGCATTTGCTGCTCCAATAACCCAAAGTATTGTTCTCAATATTTTATGGGATGTTGTATTCGCGTTCTGCACCTGCAGTTATATCGAGCCAAATTTTAAGTTACCCACCATCTGTAATTGTTCTTCATTAAATATTTCAGTTTCAATTTACTGAGACAGGAGCTGTGACTGTGTCACTTGCAGCTTTCCAGCAAGTTCCATGCCATGTGAAAGCTTTAATGTAGGAAATTATATGCCCCACGTTGAACCTTCCCTTGCAGCGTTATTTAAAAATAAAAAATAAAACCCATTTCGAGGCACGTAAAATTCTGATAAAGCTCTAAAAATAAACTCCCAAGCGCCCCTAAATGCGCAATGCTTTTGGCTGATTTGAAAATGTGATAAGCACAGATCCAACACTGGCTCAAAAGCCAGAACCCCCCAGATGGCGGCCCTTTGCAACCCCTCTGTACAAAAAACAAGCTCCACTTTCCAACTTGGTGCACAGATGCCGCAGCTAACTGATGTTCCATTCAGCACTCAGAGCTTAAATAAAATCATAAAAAACCAGCACTGCGGGGGATGTAAACTTCACAGAGAAAAGCTCTAAGGAAAGCCACCCACGGGTCGCGTTTTCGTTGAAGGGTTTTTCCCTTAAGTGCGCAGTGCTTTTGATTGAGGGTAAAGCTCTTTGGAGATCCCTCCCACGCACCCACGCTGATCCAGGATGAGCAACCACCAGCCCCAGATGGCGGGCCGGCAGCTTTAAGCTTGCATTGCAACCGGACCAACCCCTGCTGGACGAGGAAAGCTGCCAGGCCAATAAATGGCCATGGGGCAACGCTACGCCGTGGCAGGCAGTCAGTGCGTCAGAAACATTCGCAGGGCGCTCATCGTGCGGCCCAAATCCTATTCCGCGCTGCCACCGTGGCACAGACAAAGCGAGCGAACGAGAGAAAGAGCCAGAGAAAGAGCGAGAGAGAGGGAGAGAACGAGCGAACAAGAGTGGGAAGCAGCAGGCGCTGGGCCAGCTGGCACAGAAAGCGGAACTGGCCACCAATTGATTTTTTCTTTGGCAGCAACGGGAAACAACGCGCAAAAGTGAACCCAGAAACGGTAAACAAAAGAGCGCAGCGTTTGAGGCCTGCGATTCCATATGGAAATGGAGGAGACACTGCAGTTGGTCGAGACGGAGGCAGAGGCTACGGAATCAATGGAGTCAATGGAATCATCCCCCGTTGAAGGCCAGCAGCAGCCTGTGCATGAGACGAACAGCTGCGACGGCAAAGCTGTCACATATCCGGAGGAAACCGAGCCCGAAACGGAGCCCGAGCAGATGCTGAGCGAGCGATGGTCGCCGCTGGGTGCCAACTACGATGACGCCAACAGCGCCAGCTCCGGTGTGGACTGCGATCTGGAGCCCACATTGCTGGGCCTCAGCCTGGCGAAGGGCGGCCCCGGCATGGAGACGGAGAGTGCCAGCGAACTGGCGCGCCTTCGCAGCATCGAGGATGAGCAGGAGCTGCTCACCAGCTCCCTGCTGGCCCTCACCTCGCACTTTGCCCACGTCCAGCTGCGGGTGCGACAGATTGTCGAGGCACCCGCTGAGGAGCGCGACCAGTTGCTGCGCGATCTGGATGACTTTGCCTTCCAGGGCATACCCGATGCGGGTCTCGGCCAGCAGAAGGACTCCCTGGCGGAGGGGGAGGCGCAGGCGGAGCGGGAAACGGAGTCCGATGGCCAGCTGATTGAGCAGCTCAAGTCGCAGCTGACGGAGCTGGAGCAGTTGGCCTACGAGGCCGGTGAGCCGGGCATCCTGCCGCAGCATGTGCTCCTCGAGAAGCAGAAGTTCATACTGGACGAGCTGCGGGCGAAGCTGAACCTGCAGGTGGAGCAGCAGGACCTGCCGTCGCTCAGCACGGATCAGCTGCGCCACCAGGTGGACAATGCCATCGGCGAGTTTGTGGGCCCACTGAAGATGAAGGAGCAACTGGTGGCCCAGCTGAAGACGCAGATCACCGACCTGGAGCGCTTCATTGCCTTCCTGCAGTGCGATGCGGCCGGCTCCGGTTCGGGCGCTTCGACCAGTGGCAGCGACAGGCTGAAGCTCCTCTCGGGCGCCTACAACAGCTATGCGGCCAAGCAGACGGCCCGCTCCCAGGCCACGCTGCCCGCTCCGGCGGAGACTTCGTCTGCCCATTCCTCCATCCTGCCCGTGGCCCAGGCGGGCGAGAGCCTGCACAGCAAGGCGCACGGACTGCTGGACAAGGCCTCCATCCTGATGCAGATGTTCGCCAGCACGCACCTGGCCAAGCCGCGCGAGGATTTCCAGCAGAACACCCTGAAGAATACGCACAAGGGCAATCACTGGGGGTAGGTGATGTCTTTTCGGCTGCAGGGTTGCGCCCTCTAAGGCTTGCTCTCTCTTTTTCTTTTGCAGGGATCTTCGTGCCCAGCTGGAGGTGGACATCCAGGAGGTGGCCGCCCTGGCCGCCACGCTCAGCTGCGACCGCGAGAAGTTGGCCAACATCAAGCGGGCCCTGCGCCAACAGCAACAGCAGCAGCAGGCGGGATCCTCGAGCACGTGCCTCAATCCACAGAACGGAGCGTTGATTACCTTGCCACCGCGCTGCAGGCGGGTTGTGGCCGCTGGCCATGAGCTGGCACCATATGCCACGGCCGCTGCGTCAGCGGCCACCTCCTCCGACTCGGACGAGGAGGCCAGCTACGACCGCTTCGAGTGGGAGAAGGATATCAAAGGTCTGAGTCTGGGCAGGCGCATCGTACACATGCGCGGCGACTCCATAGCCACCATTGGACGCGAACTGACGACGGTGGTGCGCAAGAACTTTGCCCGCACCCTGCAGCAGCTAATCCAGCATGGCCTGCGGATACCCGCCGAAACGGCGGCATCCAGCCTGATGGTGCCCTTCATGCGGTGCCTGCATCCGGGCACGCAGCGCATGGCTGCACCGTCTTCCCAGGAGTCGCCGTTTCTGGGCCTCGGCCGGGGCATGCACGCCTGGGAGCTGATTTTCGAGTACTACCAGATGAAGCATGGCGAAGAGTACAACAATACGCCGGCGAGGAAGCTGTCGCTGAGCTTCCAGCTGGACATTGTCGACGCCCAGGCAGTGACGGCCAAGCAGAGCCTGCTCAGCACCGTGGGCATGATCCTGGCCATGCACAAGCCCTACAAGCGCAGCCACAACGCCCACTTCAAGGCGTTCGTCTGTGCGGGACTCAAGTGAGTGTTAACTGCCGTTTTGCTCCAGCACGACCTAATCGTTTCCTCCTTGCAACAGCTCCCATTTGCTGGTGGAGTGGCTGAATCTGATCCTCAGCTGCAACGAGCTGATCGACACCTACTACTCGTCCACCAGCTATGTGGCCCGCACGGGCTTCCGCGACTCGTTGCGCTCCATCGACGCCCTGTCCAAGTATGACTTTGATCTGCCCGTGGACCTGGCCATCCGCCACTTTCGCAACATCTAGAGAGGAAGGCCACGAAACCAGCTGAGAATTCTTATTTATGTGTATGATATATTTTTGGCCAGGATGGCCGGGCTGCTGCCCGAGATGGCATCCTGGCAACTAGTCCAAATCGTACTCTCGTACTATTCCCTCACTCTTATGTATAAACTCGTGTATATAACCTTAGATATGTCCCATTAAATCAATTGCTAATCCTAATCCTACCTAAACTCGCTGCCATAGAAGTCGTACAGGCACTGGCTCAGCTTCTCGCCCAGCGGCCGCTCCAGGGCGCCGCAGGTGATGCCCGCCAGCAGTCGCCTAGCCTGCTCCACCTCGCCGCACGCCGCGTAGGCATCGAGCAGTAGGCGCGGCGTGGGATAACGCTCCACAATGGCCAGGGCCCGGTCCAGGGAGAGCGAATGGAGTTGCAGCAGCTGCTGGACGAACACCTCGCGCACAGTCAGCTGGGCATTCTTGGCCGAGTCCTCGTACAGGGCCCGGAACTTGAGCAGACCCACACGGCGGTCGGTCAGACAGCTGCGGCTCACTCCCAAGGCGACCCGATCCACGCTGTGCAGGCTCTTGCCGAGAAAGAGTTGCCGCAGCGCTCGGCTCATGCCCGCCAGGTAGCACATGCTGCGGTAGTGGTTCTCCGTGCGCACCACCTGAATTCCCGACTGGATGCGGGCGTTGGCCAGCGCCTGCAGCAGCGAGTCCAGCGGCAGGCCCAGCTGCTCGTTGTCCCCGTAGTCCTCTATCAGGTAGATCACATGCGGCAGGCCGCACTGCCGCAGCCGGTGTTTCTGCTCGTGGAAGCGGCCGTCGCGAATGCTCGAGGCCAGATCGTCCATGCGCTTGCGCTCCACAATGTAGGGCAGGACGAGCTCGCTGCCGTCCGCTGCGCGGGCTATCCACAGGAAGTCGCCAACGGTGAGGCGACGCACCTCGTGCTCGGCGCCCAGGGACTGCAGGTAGCTGCGTGTCTGGTCGAGCACGCGCTTGTTCTTGCCACTCGTCTCCTGGGTGTCAACCAGGAGCAGTACCTCAAAGCCGCCTGGCAGCATCTCCACCACTCGCTCGCGCTCCTCGGCTGCAGCCTGCTCCAGCTGGGCTTTCTTGGTCGGCTTCTTCTGCTTGGCCTTCTGCTTTGCCTTCTGCTGCTTCTCCTGCACCGCCTGGACCACCTGTTGCACCTGCTCCTCGTACTGGGCTGTGGTCGCCACCGGCTGTGCCTCGCTGGCTGCCCGGTGCTGGCGCAGCTCCTCGTCAATGAGCTGGCACAAGGTGCCGCCGAATCCACGCAGCACGGCGAGGTCGCGACCACTGTACAGCGGCAGCGGATAGCTCTTCAGAGCCTCCAGGGCCTGTCGCAGTTTGTGCTGGGACCTCTGTTGCCGTCGCTCCGCCTCGCGCAGCCAACGCTCCAGCCAGCGGGTGAACAGCGGATTCGGCTCTCGCAGACGCACCTCCAGTCGTGTCTCCATTGGAATTTATTCTAATTAAATTGCGAGTTTTAAATGTTTTTCTCACTTTTTGCCGCCTTTTTTGACTGCGAATCTAGTGATGGTAGTTTGACACTCCGCCTTACTATCGATAGCTCCAGCACTGGAACCTGTGAACTTTATTATATTTTTGTCATTAGTTAATACTGAGAGATTGTTAACCAAGCCACTGAGGCTATAAATTATACTGATCAGCCAAATACGAGCAGCATTTGTACATATTCACAACAAAGAAAAACAAGAGCACACTATCGATAGCCACTATCGGGCTTGCAGTTTCGTAATCGACTGCCCGCGCATCTCTATTCAGTGCACTTTCGTGTTTTGGTTTGTTTTTTGTGCGTTTTGTTACATTTGGCTGCGGTCTCTTCCAAAATGTCTTCCAAAACGAACGGCAGTGAGCCCCAGTATGGTGGATATAAGCCTGGTTGGTCGTCTCGCTAAGCTAGGACATACTGGACAAATGGCGGCAATGTGATCCCACCGCCGTGGGCCCGGTCCATGATTGTGAAGGATGTGATGCGCTCGTCCTGTCCCATCATTTTAATGTCTAACCATGCTGTACGCATGCTCAATCCTCTATGCAGAGGAGGTGGCCCTTCCCCCGTGTCTCCTGCACAAGGTGAGACAGACAGTATAAATATATATGGTTCTCCCTCTATTCCTGTTGTCTCTTTCAGATTGACCTGAAGGACTGAAGCACCTTATGCGTGAAACTGGTCAGCTGCGGTATCTTGGCCAAGTTGGACCTAAAACAAGTCCTCGATTATGTGGTGAAACGGGAGAGGAACGAACAGGGCACCAAGCCCTGCTCCAGCCAGCTTTCAGTGTTGAGAATTCGCATGGGACCGCATGAACCTCAAGGTACGTTCATTTCCATTCTTGGATTATTGAAGTGAATGGACTTCATCCTCTTGCAGAAGCCCTATCCATGCTATGGCAACAAAGTGATCCAGATTGCCCGTGGGTCTTGTGCCGCAGAAAACCTCCTAGGAGTTGGAGGATAATGTCGGGCACCCCTGGTGTATGTTTTGTATGTCTGCGGAAGGTGTAAAGAGTTCAATTAATCCCATATAAATTACCCAACCATAAAAATCATATTTAAAACAGAATTTTTATGCAAGGAAACCCTTCTATAATCCAAATATATATTATAGAGATTTAATTCAGACTGACTTACAGTCTGAAGCGAAGTGAAGCATAATCCATTATTATTTGCGTGTGTCGAAATGAATTAAATAAAATGTAAGCTTCGGTTCAACGAAATTCCTTGCGGAATCAAAAAGATAAAAGGAACAAAAAATGGTAGCATTATAGCCGTGTATCCATGTAATTATTTTTCATCTTTATTATTCACTTTAACAAGCAAAAACATTCAATATAGTGTGTGTTTTGTGTATACATATACATACATACATACATATATATATAAATTCCATAATCGTATATACGAGTATATCTAATGCCACGCTTTTTAGACGTGACTTAGTGTGTGTGTTTGTTTGTTTTATGTATGCGTATTCTTGTTGGATCTGGATCTGGATTCGATTGCTGCATTTTTTATATATGTAGCTAGTATATGGACTTAATTGTTTAGCTTCGCAAAATAAGTGATAACATATAAATATGGAGGATATATCCTGCTTCTTCTATATCATCGTCTTACGTAAATGCAAGCCTTATACATTTTGCGTTACACAGTTACTACATACATATGTATGTATTATGTATGTATTGTAGTGGTTGGGGGGGGATGTGTGTGTGTGTCCTGTGTATATATATAGTATATGTAAATATGTTGAGCAAATCAATATTGTGTGTGCGATGGCCACGCCCCCAAAAAATCTTATGCTATATAGTTTGCTTCTTTGGATTTTGTTTTGTTTGTTATTGGATTTGTTCTTGCTCTAAATATTACGCTTACAAAAATACAGATCATCTCAAATACTTGTCAATGCTTCACAGTTATACACAGCTATACATACATACAATATATATAGACCCACTACTGTACTATAATTTGTGTTGCATACATACATATAGTTCAACTATCCCCATTCCGATCCGATCTAAGCCGATCTCTCCCATCTACTAATACTTGGATCGCTTTCTTTGCATTTAATTTAGCAAGTATTTTTTTTTTTTTTGGTTTTGTTTTTGTTTGGGGTGCTCGGCTTTAAGCGGTGGCTCCAAAACATATTTCATCCCTCCGCTGCGGGGACATTGGATTTTCGATTGCAGGGCTGTTTCCCTGCTCTCGGCTAATGGTGGTAAATGCATTTAGAAGCTTTTTTTTCATCTGCTCGTAGTACAATATTTGTGCTATAAATTAAGTACAGTCCAGGCCCGTTAATTAGAAGCACCTCTTGACTAGACCGACACACACAAAAAAAAAAAAAAGAATTATTTCTCATTTCTGGACGTTTCATTTGATTTGAATTCTTTGGTTTCAAGAGTACACAGGAATTATAAGTTAATTATAAGTGGGTGACGGACGAGACGACGACACCTCTAAGCATCAGCATTTTTAGATGCCTGGGCGACATCACGTTATTTTGTATAGTTTTTTTTTTTTTTTGGTTTGCCATCAATTAATATTTAAATCTTAACTACGATGTGCGGTGCGTTTCCAGAACTGTATGAGAGCAACCGTTTTGCAACCATTGAATGGGTATGAAAAAATACAATTTGAATTTAGCTTTTCATAAACATTTTACATTCTGAATTCCGCATAGATTCAGCGGGAAAAATGAAAATTTAAAAAGCTCCCAACTGATGAATGAAGAATAATTTGAATGCCTAATGGGCTCCACCATTCGTAACCAAAACCCCATTCTTGGCTCCACACCTAATACTGCCTGTATAGTACCTGTTTGTACAGTTATGAACCGCACTGCACCGCTCCACTTGAGTGGGGGAGATAAGCGCTCGTCTGATAATGGCAATATTTGAATCCCAATTTTTCAGGGCATCGAATTCTAATCATCATCGAGCATCCTCCACGCGCGTTTAATATATAAATACATTTATGTAGTAAATATCTTTTTAGATTATGGAAACAAGCTCTCTCTCCTCTCTCACGCACACGCAAATATGTATAGACTAACACACTCACACTCTCACACACAGCACACACCACACACACACACGGAAAGACATGGACACAACCTAAGCATCATTTTTGGAAAGAGTTTCAAAACGAGTTATGTTATCGAGAAAGAAATTTTTGTGGGTAAATTAACCTTTCAGCTCATTTTTTGTGTGTGTTCAAGTTTTCAAGAAACAGTCTTCAGCTTCGTCATTTGTTTTGGTTTTTTTTTTTGGGGGAATTTTTTTTTGTTTTCTTCTGGGAGAGAAACATAACAGTGAAAGTTGCTTTGGGATGGGGCTTATATATGGGAGGAGGGCTTTAGGGCGTTCAGCGTGAGAGCTATTGTTAGAATCCGATTGCTCCCGAATCACGTGTCCCATTCCTATGTACGTGTGTGCCGCCTCCATATTTTGATGGATCAAGCGCTGGATCGTTGGATAAGCAGTCGCAAAACAAAAAGATACTCGGATATCCCCTTAGTCGTCGTCCGATAGATTGGTGGTTGTAAGCAGCGTGGCATTATCCTCGGCTCCCTGCTCCTCAATGTCCTATAACAAAAAAAAGAGACAGACAGAGAAGGCTTTCAGTTACAGATCTTCATAGATGATTGATATCCCCCCTAAACAATTTTCCCACAATTATCAGTCTGAGGATTCTTCAGTTTTTTTTTCTTATATAAAATATATATATTTATACATATATTTATCAATTGTTTTTTGTTTTTGTTTTTTTTTTGTTTGTCTGCTTACAATCTTCGTCTCCTGCTCTGGCTCTTTCTTTTATCTTCAGATTCATTTCTTTTAAGTGGTTTTTTTTATGTTGTTTTGTTTTAGTTTTGTTTTGTAAAAAATAGTTTTACATGCAAATAGGACGATTGAAAATTTGTTGTGTTGTTTGAAATCATTTTGTAGGAATACAAAGAGAGATTGGAACCAAAAAACACACCACGTACACATGCAGGGCTTATTTTTTTTTTCTTTGTGTATATTATATAAAATTAAAAAAAAATTTATTAAAAAAAAAATTATATAAAAACTTAAAATGAAAACAAAACATTTAGGCTACAAAAAATAGGTTACAAAAATAGTTTCATCGCATGTCGGGAAAGTGGTTCTGTTCTGGTTCTGTATATTCTGCTCTGAGAAATTGGTAAATGCAGCGGAAATGTGCCTCGGTAGCGTAGTGTAGTTGCAGGTTGCATCTGCAACTAGAGTTGGGTGCTGGAATCTGGAGCTGGGCGGGCCTTGACCTTGGCCGAGATTTACATTTACATTTACATTGGGGTCTGTCAGTGGTGCTGCTGCTCTCTCGCTTTCGCTCTCACTATCTGTCTCTTCTCTGGTTTGGATTGGATTGGTTAAGATTGATTTTCGGATTGGATTGGATTGGAAGTGTGCGGAAGATTTTGTTGCTCGACGTAGAGTGTCGTCGATGGCTTCACTCTCACTTGAGCTTCTGCTTGACGGGACTGGGCGTCGGTTGGTCCGCCTCGGGCAGGTCGCTCTCCTTCTTGCGCTTCACCTTGTCCTTGGGTGACTTGATGGCCTTCTTGGAGGACTGTGCCGCCAGCAGCTTGGCTTCGCGTTTCGCCTCGCGCTTGGCCTCACGCTTGGCGCGTAGCTGTTCGGTGATGAAGGAGAATACGAGGTAGCCCTGCAGGGCGATCAGACCGCCGAGGGCCAGCAGGGAGCGCAGGCCCCCGATGCCGTAGTAGAGGGTGAGCACACCAATCACCGAGGTGGCGAAGCGCACCAGGAAAAAGCAGGCGCTGTTCACCACGCGCAGGCGGGCCAGTCGCTCCTCGCGATCGAAGACGCCGATCAGCTGGAAGACATTCGAGAGCAGCTCGCTGAAATAGTGCAGCGTGAGCAGGACGAGGGCCAGCCGCTGGAAGCTCAGGGTGTAGGCGATCACGATGAGGCTGAAGCCGCTGATGGAATGTACAATCTTCGGCTGCTGCTCCTCCCTGGTGCGGATCTTCTGGAAGTACAGCTCCGGCAGCATGTGCAGGTAGTACGCCAGCTGGATGATGAAGTAGAACTTGTGCAGGAAGCTCATTGGATGGCTGGGGAAGCCCTCCCACAGCTGGGCCACCTGGCCCAGGTATCCCTCGCGCAGAACGACATGTGCGCCCCACACGAACGAGAGCAGGTAGAAGGCCACCAGCTGGCCGGACTCGTTGAAGCGGGCCAGCTTGAACTTGGAGAGGTGCAGCTTCTTGCTGATCTTATCCAGAACGAACTCCTGGATGATCGCGTGCATGATGATGCAGGTGAGGGTGTAGAAGAAAATCGAGCAGTAGTCCTTGATGCCGGCCACATAGGTGTAGGCCTTGCCATAAGGCTGCTCCCTGCTGGGGTCCTCCCCGCTGACATTGTGATGCAGCGAGATGAAGGCGCTGGCAAAGGAGGCCGTCGATTCGTTCATCAGGCCCACCACGAAGACCATTGCCACGCAGGAGATGATGTCCGCATGGTTCTGTATGACGAACTCGTGGCTCAGGATCGGCGGGTTCTTGTTGCTGGGCTTGCGTCCCAGACCGGGTTTAATGGCCATCTTCCCTGGAGGAGTTTGGAGTCGGGAGTTTGGGGGGTTGTCACTGCAATGGGTTTTGTACACGTTAGCGCTGAGAGATTCTCACTGGGAATGGTTAGCTGGAAACTGGGTTCTGGCCATGTCGTGCGCTCCTCCGAGTCGAGTCTGTGTGTGTGTGTGTGTGCGCGCTGCTCTCTCTCTATTCCCTCTGCATTGAAATCACAATTTGCCTTGTTGGCACTCGGCTCGCACTCGCACACCAATATGGGGACTGGCTCCCAGAGCAACACATGCAACACTGCCACAATATCACTCAACACAGACACACGCACACATTTGAGTAAATGAGATGGGAGACGTGGAGACACACACACATACCCACACACCCACGCATAGGCACAGGCACAGACACGCAGGCAAAAGTTTGGGTTTGAAATGCTTACAGGATTCTCGTATTTTCTCGCGTTTTGCTGACGTAGGCGTTGGGGGCTATCTCCGCTCTGGCCGCTGCTGCTGCTGCTGCTGCTGGGGTGTCCGCTTCTGCTGCAGCTCCGACTCGACTCGGGCTAGGCTCACTTCTGGTACTGACCAACACACGTAGCAGTCGCTGTCGCTGTCGCTGCTTGCTCCTCTGCTCCAGCCGCGCTGCTGCCTTTTACTTTTGCTTCTCACCTGTGTGACTGACTGACTGTCGGACGGCAACGGCAACGGCAACAACGGCAAACGGCAAACAGCAAACGGCAACGTCAACGTCGATGCTGCCAGCCCGCGGTATGTGGGTGTATGTGTGTACGCTGCTACGTTTCACCGAATCCAGGGCTGGATGCAAACAAGCGATTCAGCTGTTCAAACATTCTTTTGATTTGCGGCACGCGTTTTTAACGTTCTGCAATATTGGCACTGTACAGCCTTGCTTGTGATTTTTCACCATCGGTCTGGAAAATTCTTCCTCTAGTTCCGCTGGCTGTGCAGCCCTGCCAAAAAACGTTAATGCGCTACAGCAGCAGCAACAACCACAGCAAAACAAAAATTGCCACGCAGCGCCCTGCTCTCCAACAACACTACCACAACCACTACCACTTGTTCACATGCCTGCCTGCCTGCCAACTCGCTCGCTCTCACGTGGTGCGCCGACAGCCGGCTAAAGTCATGCGCTCTCTCGCTCTCCCAAGCGCCACAAGTTTATGCTTCGGTGTGAGCGCGACCGTGTGTGACGTGGAACGACGACGATGTGTGTACACCAACACAAAGAAAACTGGTTTGTTGTTGCCATGCTCCAGATTCCAGTTCGCGTTTGCCGAGGGCTACATACAAACTGAGTTCAGTTCCGGAACTGATTCCGCGATGAATTTGTGGCATTTTATTTAAATATTTAATCACAATTAAGGCACTCACAAACGTTTCACCATTATTCAATTTTTAATATAAATTTAATTTATTACACGGCAAAAAAAAACAGTTTGGAACAGTTTGAAATCCTAAACGCGGAACTAGTTACTTCAGCAGGGCTGCCAACTTGCCAGGGCCGTAGGCTAGTGGCCTGCTGCCCGCGCATGTTACGGTTATATTTAATCAGGGCTTCTCCGACAAAGGTCGAGGTCATCTGGAGTTTGCCCATTGTGATGCCCCTAACCTACGTATGTACATACGCACTCAAGGAAGCCATGACGCCCACCCATAAGTGGCAACAGCTAGCTACATAGGAGATTTTAAACACTTTTCGTCCTTGCAGCTGCATCAAAAATTCATGGCAGGCCAGCCAGTCACTGTTCTGTCCTGTCTGTGTGGGCGGACCACGCGAGTCGTCATCTAGGAGGAGGCTTTGGCAGCCTGGCGGTCGACATAAATCGATATCTTCCTTGGAGCATATCAATCAGCACGGATCTCCCCCCCATCCATGGAATTACTCTTTCTATTGCTGTCAGTCCAGTCTTTTACGCGCATTAAAATTAACAATTTCGTGTTCGTGCCCCATTTTATGGGGGGCCCGAGCTGGTGCAACACTTGGGTTACACAAGAGCGACCCCCAAAACGGCCCGTCCCGACCCGTCCCAAAGGGTAATTAAATGCAATTTGCTACTCACATTACGATTCCGCTTGCGCACCGAGGACACGATGGTGCGCTTGTTGCGTGCCACCAGGCAGACCGTGATGATCAAAATCATGCCAATGAGTGCGAATCCCAGTAGGGCGGGCAGCAGCACGCTATCCTCGGCCTTGTAGCCCTGAAAAGTCAAATGGGGGAAAATGAAACACCACACGCCACTGGGACAAAGGATATCATGCTATACGTACGGTCCACTGGAAGTAGGTCGAGGGATCTATGTAGGCCCAGTGCGTCTTTATCCAGTCGCTGTTGCTCTTGTTCTGGCCCTTCTCCACTTTCGCTGCCTGCTGCTGCTGCACTGCAGCGCCCTGCGTCTTGGCCAGGACCGGGGGCATGATGGGCTTCTTGGCGGCTGACTTTAGCAGCGGCACCTGTATGATTCGCGTGGTGATCGTGGTGGCTGGCAGGTGGCGCTGCTGGCCTTGCGGTGGGAGCACGGCAACATATCCGGTAGTGCTGACCGGAACGGACGGCTGGGGCGGCGGCGGCGGTGGAGGCGGTGGCTGCTCCCTGGTCGTGGTTGTGGGCGCAGTTGTGGTACTGGTGGTGCTGCTGCTGGTCGTAGGCGCCATGGTAGTGGTTGTGGTTGTGGTGGTGCTGCTTGTTGTTGTAGTTGTGCTGCTGCTTGGGGGCAGCTCCTCTGTTCCTGCGGTGGCAACTGTTTTGTTCACCTTCAGCACAAACTGCTCGATGCCATTTCGGTTCACAATCTGCACTGTTTTGCCCACGCTCTGACCCAGCTGGAGCAGCGGCGACCCGGTGGGCAGTGTAGCCGGTATGGCCTCTCCAGATCCAGTTCCACTAGCAATTCCAACTCCAGATCCAGTGGGTGCTCGTGTATGGGTGAGGGCCGCCTTTGTCTTGAGGAACCATTCTGTGGGGTTGGGCAGACACTCGGCGGAGACCAGGAAGGGGATGAGCACAGCGCCAATGATAACGGTGCAGACGAAGATCAGGCCCAGGTAGGCGAAGAAAGAGCGCCGTCGTCGCTGTCCCGCCGCCGTGCTGCGCTTGGACGAGGCGGTGGATGACGACGAGGAGGCAGCCGACAGTTTACCCTCGATGCGGAAGTCATCGTTTTGCGGTAGAATCGTGTATTGCAGGCTGTTCTCGCCGTGACGTATTGTTTTATACATCGTGATCACTGATTGCAATGACGCGCTCTCTCACTCTCTCTCTATCTCTCTTGTTTGACTCGCTCTCGCTCTGTCGCTGCTTCTGCTCAGTCGCTGCCTCTGCTCGGTCTAGCCTATGCACTAAACTACAACAACTACAACGTTGAATGCGTTTCTCTGCTTCTGTCGCCTGCTGTTGTCCAGTTGGGTAACGGTCAAATCCCTCTGCTTCAGCTGCTGCTGCTACTGCTTCTTCTTCTTTTGCTTCTGCTCTCGTATGTGTGTGCGTGTGTGTGTGTTTTTGTGTGTTCCGTTTTTGTTGTTCCTCTTCCTACACTTTCCGCTGCTGCTGCTGTCGACTGTCGACCAGGAAACAGTTAATTCTTCGTCAATTCCCCTATTTTCTTCTCGTTATTTCTCTGCTGATTATGCTGTTCCTGGTGCAGCTTTTGATTCTGCTGCTCTTTGCTCTTCACGTGGGATTATTGTTGTTGCGCCTCGGTCTGGTTCCTGTTCCTGCTGCTGCTGCTGCATGCTCCTTGCGCACTAAATTTTATGTTTTTATTGATTTACCGTTTTTGTTTTTTCGGACATGCGCATATCCTGTGCTGCCTTTTCGCTCCAGTGCTGGCAAGCACCAGCACCAGCAGTGCATGCTCAGTGTTGTATAATGCGGTGAATGAAGTGACGCGCGAATTAAGAAGCTTTTGGACCTTCCCATTTATATACGATTTCCCATTTAAATTAATTGTATTTTACAATAATATATCCTACCCCGATACACTGGATCTTAAAACTAAAAACAAAACAAAAAAAAATCATACAAATATCAGACGGATAAATATTTAAGTTTTGGGGGGCGGTTTGGGTTAGAAGACGAACTCCCCCTTGTCGGCGGATGGGTCCAAGTTGTTGAGGCAACGCTCAAAGTGCTTGATGCGCTGATACCAGGGTGGATCCCGGCTGGAGACCGCCTCGGGCCGTCCGCCCTGGTGACGGTAGAGAAACTCGGCGTGTCCCTGGCCAGGGATGCCGTTGACGGTGCAGGAGACGAACTGATTGAAGACCTTCGACTCCCAGTCGCCGCCCACATAGCGCAGGGCCGATTCCTCGACACGGATCTGGACCAGATATTCCCGCTCCTCGGTGCAGACAATGAAGTTCTGATGCTGGGGCGGTGTGCCCTTCTCCCCGTACGAGTACAGCTCAAAGTTGCTGCTCTTAATGGGCTGGTAGACGCCCGCGGGGCTGCACACGTAGCCCACCTTCAGCGAGGAGAGGAAGAACGAGGGCTGGCTGAGATTGCCCACGACCATGTTGCTGCCGTCGTCCAGAAAGAGGGCAAAGTACACATAGCGATTGATGGAGCTCAGGCAGCGCTCGGTCCCGAAGCTGTGGTCCCGGAATCCTCGCATCTGAAGATCCAACCTCTTTCCGTCCAGCTGCAGCGACCCGGCCAGCACTCCGTTCTGCTCGTAGTGGGTGCGCTTCTCCATGATGTGGGTCACGGACCGGAGCATACCGTAGAAGCGCTCGTTCCAGGCCTCCCTGGCTATCGAGTCGGCTATCAGGTTGGAGCTCAGGTCACGGCTGTAGTCGAAATGAGCCGCGCTGGGGCTCTCGAACCGTAGATCCAGCTGCACCGGCACCTGCTGCTCCTTGCTGGCGAGCACACCGTCGTACTTGATCCGCCAGACCCGCATCGACTCCTCCGGATAGATGTGGAATCCTTCGCCGCGGAACTCGCTGCTCTCCTCGCTGCCGTCCGTGGTGAAGTGGGCCATGTCCGGCAGCCGGGGGGAGCTGAACAGGCCCTCGGAAGGCAGCCACAGATAGAGGGCCGCCTTGAGCACTCCCCGACGTCGTCGCTCCAGGGTGACCATCAGCTTCTGGCCCTCGGCATTGGCGGCCATAAAGCTGACCACATCGTAGCTTTTGGGATCATTGCACAGCCGCTGCGGCCTGTCCACCTTGGCCAGATGCTCCTCGGAGCCCAGCTCTTCCTCGTTCCGTCGGTAGATGCGGTACCGCAGCTGTCGCAGCACCAGCAACGCAATCCCATACTTGAGCCGGTAGAAGAGCCCCTTCAGGGGGTACTTGCCGAAGACAAGCGGCGGCTTCAGGCCCAGCAGTTTCGTGGCCAGCCCGAGCAGGGCCACCGCTATGCCCAGGGCCAGGCAGATGCCCGTCAATAGCAACATGTTCGATCGATAAGTGGTTTCGCGTGTCGCTGGCCTGGCTGCCTTTACGTGACTGAGAAACGCAGCCGGAGATTACCTGAACAAATGCCCGGACGGAGGCCCAGCTATCTTCGATTCCCGATAAGGGCTCACCCCCCTCGGTCCTGCAGCACCTTATCGGGCTTATCGGAGCGGACCGCCACCCAATGGAGCTTTATGGAACTGGGACTGGGAGGGGAACGGCAATCGGGCAATTCCAAATTAATGACTCGCTCGTAAATCTGAATCAGTCTGCGATTATTCGATTTATGGCTACAATCAGATTACTTTCTTTTCAAAGGAATTCAAAGGCTTGAAAATTGATAGAATTACAAGGAGCAGGATTCATCATGTAAGAACTTTCATTTAACATCCAGAAGGACCCTCAAATACTCCCAAAATATAGCAATTTTTATTGTCCTCATTTAACGCGTCGTGCAACAGCGCCCCTCTGTTGATTTTTGTGCGTAAAAAGCTTCCGCTTGGTGTCCCTTGTGCCCAATATCCAGGGTAATACCTGTTCTACCTAATTACCTTTGGGGAGACGGCTAGCCCCCCTCCCGCCCGAGCCCGGCAGCGAGGCGGGCATGACGAGGTATTATCCAACAGACTCTCAGCGCGATTAGAGCGGATTGTAAATCTATAGCCAGAATCTGAGACCACTCGGACCTCCCGCAAAGAAAGGCAAAGCATGGAGAGAGCAACGAGAAGGAAGGCAGAAATATTTATAAATAAATTAGCATGTGGCCCATCGCGAGCCGATGGAATCAAATTGGTTTTGGGTTTGGCCATGGCTACCCATAAACAGTCGGCGGATAAGATTACCAAAGTATGTGGCTTTAAAGTGACCATAAGCAAGCCTTGCGCCTCAGTTTTCACGGCTGCCCGTAGACAATGACGGGGCTGGGCTGGGGACTTATCGCTGGCGACGCTATAATCAGCTTATTCCTGCAGCTTGGCCCAAGTGTTTCATGTCCATGCCAGATAGTGGCTGTTGCATATCGAGTCAAGTGGCTTGTGGCCACGATAGTGGCGAGGGGCGTTTCCAGGTTACCAGAAAGACGCAAATTATGTTGATGCCTACGCCTCGGGGGAGAGATTTCTCTGCTCCGACTCCGACCTGCCGCAACTACGGTTTATGGCTGCCAGATACGAGAGAAGGTCGGCCAGGCAATTATTGCCTGAAAAACACAACCGAAAATATCGCAGATTGTAAAGATGTCTGACTAGCCAGGCACTTGAGGCCACAGGAAGAGTCAGACATTTCGCTGGAATTTGGCACTGGAAATATTGGTTCAATAAGAGTGTTTAAAAATAACCATTTTATTCAAAATTTTCTAAATATTGATTATCAATATTAAGGTTTTTTTTTTTTATTAAAAAATTAAATACCCACGATTTAGGTTATCATCTTCAATACACAAAAGAATGGGGCTCGGGGCTTCTTCAGCTTTCAAAAAGCAGTGCTCAGATTTTCACGAGATTTAATTGTGGAATCATTTTTGGACTTGTGGCGGGTAATCCAAACACAAACGTTTAACTAGGTATGATCGAAATTTAATGTCTTTGTTTTTCTAGAGCCTCCGCGGCAAACGCCAAAAGCTTATCCACGGCTGAGGTTATAGGGACTTTGGGATGATCAACTACTCTTTATCTACCATGACACACACAATTGATTTAAATTAACATGTAAGCCAATGCTTGGTTTTTTTTTGGTTTTTCTGTCATGCAGCAGCGCCCCTCTCGGTCTCGGCCTCGGCCTGCTGTTCTGTACATTCCCTATACTCATAGCAACCATATGCCGTATGCTTCAGTTAAGTAATCCGATTTGGATTTGTCAGTCTCACAGATTAATTACACATAGCTCAAATTCCCCAAGTTCTATTGCGTTCAGTTTTATTCCAAATTCTAAGTAACATGGATGCCATTGAGAGAGAGTCGGCGGTGGAGCAGCCACCGAAAAAGGGCAGCGAGACGCTGCTGGAAGGCGGTTCTTCCAACACGATGCTGTGCCCGGCCAAGGACAAGGGCAACGAGTCGCTGAAGGGTGGTTCATTTGAATCGATGCTGTGCCCGGCGAACATGACGGCGCGTAGCAGAAAGGCCTGCCTGCAGCACATGATAGCCGAGCTGCCGGGGCCAGTGCACAATCGGATTGTGGCCCTGAAGCACAATCAAATGCAGCAGATTAAGATATCGGAGCAGTTTTATCGGAAGGTGTACGAGCTGGAGAAGCAATATTATTTGCAGTGTGCCGAGCTGTTTGATGTGCGGCGCGTCATCATTGAGGGGTCTGTGGAGCCGCCACCGATGGAGCCCGCTTGGAGCGAGGAGCCCGATGCGCTGGTTGAGGAGCTCAAGGCCAGCGATGAGTTCCAACGGCTGGCCGTGCTCATGCCCAAGATGCCGGACAATGCAGTGGGTGTGCCCCGCTTCTGGCTGAGCATCTTCCGGAACGTTTCCCTGCTCTCGGACATGGTGCAGCACTATGACGAGCCGCTGCTCGAGTGCCTGATGGACCTACGCATCAGCTACGGGCCGGCGTGCTACACCATCGAGTTTCTATTTCGGAGCAACAGCTACCTGGACGACTGCTCGCTGATGCTCACCAAGAAGTACTTTCTGCACCACCAGGCGGACGAGGAGTATCCATTCTCGTTCGAGGGCCCCGAGATCGTGAGCTGCGAGGGCTGCCACATCGATTGGCGCAATGGCTGCAACCTCACGCAGCATGAGGCAAACGGAATGCCGCGCGAGTCCTTCTTCCAGTTCTTCGCGCCGCCACAGCCACTGGACTTGTCAGTGGCCGACGAGCAGACCAAAATGCTGCTTGCCATTGACTTTGAGGTGGGCTTCCTGCTGCGCACTCAGATCGTGCCCAAGGCCGTGCTCTTTTACACCGGCGACATTGTGGACAGCACCAACGAGGGGCTCAACGTCAGCGACTCCACCTCGGAGCCGTCCGATACCGACACCGAGACATCTGCTGCCCCTGCCCCTGGCCCAGCTTCCGCACACATGCCGGAGCAGCTTTAGTTTTTTGGCAAACTGTTGTATTGAATATGTATAAATAAAATGGCTAATTGTTTATCGGCTCTCTACTTGAAGATGCTCGTGTAGTACTCCTCCTCGAGATCGTACAGATCCATGGCCATTTCGTCGCGCAGCTTCATCAGCTTCTTGTCGCACTCGATTTGGGTGGCCCGAAACAGCTGCGAATTGTTTGTGATGGCCTCGTTGACAGAATGGAAATCGTTCAGTATCAGGTACTGCTTGAGATCGGCCACCAGCTTCATCAGCGACTCACCCGCACGCACTATAACCGAATGGATTAGGTTACAATGGCATGGGCTGCCCTACGCATTGCTGCTTACCCATATTAGAGACTCGTATTTGCATTTCGAGGGCATCCTGCTCGCATTGTGTCGTACGCGATATTTGGCTGTGGCTGTCTCGGCGCGCCAGCTTGAGGGTTTCTGAAAAAGAAAGAGCGCATCGAGACGTTAAACAAACAAAATCGAATTTTGGGCATAAACAAATTTCGAGCTGAGCTCAGCTTTGGTCCGAAAGAGCCCAAAAGCTAGAGCTTGAGCTGTCCAGTTTTATTTTGGTTGCTTTTCCGGCCGGTCGATGGGGCAGATTTGGACAATGTGCTGCGACCGTTTCGGGTCCGCCCTAGAGGAGCGCATGCTGATGATCGGACTGGATGGCGCCGGCAAGACAACGGCGCTATATCAACTGAAGCTGGGAATGCTTGTGAGTGGCGTGCCGACAGTGGGCTTCAATGTGGACATGATCGCGTACAAGCGGCTGCGCCTGACCGTCTGGGACATGGGCGGGCAGTCGCGGGTGCGTTCCCTGTGGCGCTACTACTGCTGCAACACGATCGGCGTACTGTTTGTGGTGGATGCAGCTGATTTTGGCCGCCTCTCGGAGGCCCGCTACGAGCTGCACGGCCTGATGAACTTCAAGGAGCTGTCCCATTGCGTCCTCATGGTGTTTGCCAACAAGCAGGACCTGCGCGGTGCCGCGACCACCGAAGAGCTGGCCCAGGCCCTCAATCTGGTCGCGCTGCGTCAGACCTGGCAAATTCACGGTGTGTCGGCCCACACACGCGACGGACTCGCCGAGGGCATGGAGAAGCTGTACCGCATGATCCGACTGCAACAGCGGCTGACCCTGTCCAATCCCACTCTGTAGTCATCATCATCATCATCATCATCATCTCACCCTCAAAGTTCTCCAGCATGCTGCGTACATCCTCCTTAAGGCGTGCATTGTAGGACTTCAGCAGCGCCTCCTTGGACTGCGGCAGCGTGGTAATCCGAGAGCCGCTGGCCATAATATTAGCAATAAATAAATAATCGTTGATATAAACAAATTATGGAATGCGGCGAACGCGCTTTTGTTTGTTTATCTTTCGGCGGCGGTATCACTGGTTCCACTGATTCCGGAGCGGCAAAGAACGAATTATTATTTTATGGTATATACTGGTATTTTTGAACTGGTATTAATGGTATTTTTCGACTTGATCAGGAAATGAGCAACAAATCGGAATACCTTGGGAAAATGGATATTATGGACTTGAGATATAGATTGTAATATCGGCTCCAATTAAAGCAGGAACTATTCAGTCTCTGTATTAAAGATTTTAACGAAAGCTCACGGGTTCCAATAATACGTATCAGAACCGGAATAAATGTATTTATAAAACACAAAACATATGCATTAAGAGGTAAAAATCATGTCAATCTAGGATAAAATCATTATTAATGTTTCAATGGTACAAAACATTTAACATCAATTAAAAGAAATAAGGTATACGAAAGTACACACGCAACAATGACGTTACATTTAGTCAACATTTACGTTTTATGCTTTGGCCGGTTTTGTTTGAACATTCTTATGTAAACAATGCAATTAAAAGGAGTTCTGAAAATTAGCCAATCTTGTAGACAAATGATGTCTCTATCGGATAAAATTATTTGTTTAGGGCTGAGAGGGCTAACTAGCTAGTAATATTAAACCGAATATCAAAATTATGGAATACGATTTCAATCAATAAAATAGAACGTTAGCCCATTGTCGACCAGGGGGGTATTTAATATTTCCACGAAATTTATGTAACTTTAAAATATTTTACGCATTACAGGTGAAAGATATCGGTGGTCACTTTTGTTTTGTAAGTAAAGAGGAGGATGGAGCTACAAGGAGCCTTTACAAACAGTATTATTTTCCGCGGTTTAACAAAGGGTTCTCAGCTCTTTAAATAGAGGGGTGTTAAGTGGGTTAAGTCTCGTTTAATCGTTATCGTTACGGTCACGCTGAGTGTGCGAAAGAGAAGGGCGTCCAAGACACAAAATTTTCGATACTGCAGCCTGTGGAAAATAGAAAAACCTCAAAATAAGCGAGCGAAGTCGATTCTACGCCTGTAATGCTTTGATGCTAAAATCCATCAGCGGAGGCGTTGGCGTTGGCGTGGCCGGGGCAGGAGCAGGTGCGGCTGCCAGTGGCGGCGGGTGGTGGTGGTGGTGGCGGAGGAGCAGGAGCTGCAGTGGGGAGCGGGACAGGTAGGAGTGGGAGTGCCACTGCGAGCGGAAGTGGAAGCGCGGGTGGAAGTGCAGGGGCGAGTGCAAGTGCCAACATTGTTGGGAGCGGTCGTGCCAGTTGTGGCATCGGCTCCAATTCGATTTCCAGCGGCCTGAGCGCCGTTTGCGGATTGGTCACCGGCAGCGGTAGTGGCAGTGGCAGTGGCAGCGGCAGTGCCAGCGGTAGCGGAGGTAGCACCCCCGCCGGAGTCAACATCTACTGTCCGGCTTGTGTGGCAAGCAGCTCACAGCAGCAACAGCAGCAGCAACAGCAGCAGGCACCCCACTCCGAGTCGTTCTTTTCGCGATCAAAGTCGAGCAAGCGGCACAAGGCGAGAAAGAGCGCCTCCACCGCCGGTTGTCTGGACGCCCAGCACATTCGCAACAACCTGAGGATGTCCACGTCCAGTTCGCTGCGCAGCACGCGCGCCGTCCAGTCGAGCCACTGCAGCGGCAGCAGCCCGGCCTACGATGCGGCCAGCAATGCCAGCAACGCCAGCAGTGGCAGTGGCACGGCCGCCTCACCGGGCAGCTACAGCTGCAACGCGCTCAACGTGGACTTCACCTCGTACACGGCCACCCACCAGTGGACCAGGATGCTCGAGTGCGCCGAGTTCGTGGGTGCCAAGTGAGTTAATTAACGCAGAGATAAATCAGAGATCCCTTCACCATTTTCTCTCCATTCCACAGGCGGAGCAAGCACACGGTGGTGGCCTACAAGGATGCGATGTTCGTGTTTGGCGGAGACAATGGCAAGAATATGCTTAACGATCTCATACGCTTTGGGGTCAAGGACAAGTCATGGGGCAGGGCCTGCGCCACCGGTACACCGCCGGCGCCGCGCTACCATCACTCGGCGGTGGTGGCGGGCACTTCGATGTTCATCTTTGGCGGCTACACGGGCGACATTCACTCCAACTCGAATCTGACCAACAAGAACGACCTGTTCGAGTACAAGTTCAAGAGCGCCATGTGGGTGGAGTGGAAGTTCTCGGGCCGCCAGCCAGTGCCGCGTTCGGCCCACGGCGCGGCCGTCTACGACAACAAGATGTGGATCTATGCGGGCTACGACGGCAATGCCCGACTGAACGATATGTGGACGCTCAACCTAACCGACGACCATCATCAGTGGGAGGAGGTGGAACAGCAGGGCGACAGGCCGCCCACCTGCTGCAACTTTCCGGTGGCCGTGGCCCGGGACGCCATGTATGTGTTCTCCGGTCAGAGCGGCCTGCAGATCACCAATTCGCTGTTCGAATTCCACTTCAAGACGCGCACCTGGCGTCGCATCTCCAATGAGCCGGTGCTGCGGGGGGCCACCTCGGCGCCGCCCTCGCGCCGCTACGGCCACACCATGGTGCACCACGATCGGTTCCTGTACGTGTTCGGTGGCTCGGCCGACTCGACGCTGCCCAACGATCTGCACTGCTACGACTTGGACTCGCAGATCTGGTCCGCTGTGCTGCCGGAACAGAACTCGGATGTGCCCTCGGGCCGGGTGTTTCACGCGTCGGCCGTCATCAGCGATGCCATGTACATCTTCGGCGGGACCGTGGACAACAGCGTGCGACGCGGCGACACCTATCGCTTTCAGTTCTCCAGCTATCCGAAGTGCACGCTGCGCGACGACTTTGGCAAGTTCTTTCTGGAGAAGCAGTTCTGCGACATTCAGTTCGTGGTGGGTGTGGAGGAGGTGCGCATACTGGCGCACATTGCCTTTGTGGCGGCCCGCTCCAAGTACTTGCGCAACAAGATACTGGCGGCACGCGAGGCGCGCCAACAGCAGATGGAGAAGGTGTACGGGGTGGGACAGGTGGATGCGCTGGCGCTGAACACGGGCGTCGGCGGTGACCGGGCACCCATGCTGGAGGTGCGGCTGGTGCATGCCTCGCCGGAGGCCTTTGACATAATCCTCAACTACATCTACACGGATCGCATCGACCTCAAGGATCCATACAACAAGAACATTATCATACTGATCACCGACATCTACCAGCTGGCTGGGCTCTTTACCATGCCGCGGCTGGCCCACGGCTGCATTCAATATCTCGACTATAAGATCAACAAAATCAATGTCCTCGAGGCCCTCTACAATGCGGATAAGAGCAAGTGAGTGAGGGGGGGCCACCATTGTGGGGTAACCAACTAAATGAAATCTCTTCCTCTGTGTCCGTGTCTGTTAGCATCAAAATTATTAAGGATCACTGCATGCAGTTCATCATCAAGGAGGAGAACTTCACCGAGGTTGTCATGTCCAGCGAGTTCAGCGACCTGGATAAGCCGCTGCTCGTAGAGATCATACGCAAGCGCCTGCATCCCAGCAAGTTGGTCATGGACACCAGCTTCGAGGCGAGCCACGGTAGTAGGGGGGACCAGTCTTATTTAAGACCCATTGCATTTCATAACCCAACCCAACCCACATTCCCCATATCGATAGGTACCACATTGGAGCTGGATTTGTGCACGTTCCTGAAGTCGACCGGCAATGATTTCTGCGACATCAGCCTTATATTGGAGGACCATGTGATACCGGCCCACAAGTCCGTGTTGTCGTCACGCTGTACCTATTTCCAGGGCATGTTCCGTTCGTTCATGCCGCCGGATAATACCGTCAATGTGAGTACACTCCATGGCCCAAGTGCACAACTGGCCGACTATAATTGAGCTGCCATCTGTTGCTCTGTTGCAGATACAAATTGGTGAAATTTCACCCTCACTGGAGGCATTTCATTCGCTGCTGCGCTACATCTACTACGGTGAGACAAAGATGCCGCCACAGGATGCACTGTATCTGTTCCAGGCGCCGTGCTTCTACGGCCTGTCCAACAATCGGCTGCATGCGTTCTGCAAGTACTCGCTGGAGCATAATATAACGTACGAGAATGTCCTGCAGACGCTGGAGGCATCGGATATAACGAAAATCTATGACATCAAGGAGTATGCATTGAAGTTGATTGTGAAAGATTTTGCCAAGGTGGCGAGACTGCCGAAAATCTCGGGTTTGTCGCGCGAACTGTTGCTGGAGATAATACGCGCTGTGGCCGATTCGCAGGGCGAGTTTCTGACCAGCATCAATATCAATACAGATATCTGAAAACTAGTGCTGCTACAGCCGGCCTTGCAGTTGTTGCTCGCCTGGTTGCAAATCGGACGTAGCACGTAAAGCGGCAGTAGCGGTTTGCCAGCAAAAAACGAAACACGAACCACGAACCACGAATAAAACTAGGCATCAGTTTTTAATGAAAAGAAAGCCCATCCTGATCATCCCAATTCATGCATACCTGTGCGCACCTGCCCCCCCCCCCCTGATAAAGCAGATGGCAAAGAGAATGTCGGACAATGAGAGGACAAGGAGCAAAGAAAGATCCATCCGACCATACTTATATGTATACTTATATAATTACTTACCTTTACCTATTATGTACACTTACTTGTAATATTGCCCTATTGCCCTGTACCCTCTTACACCCTAATACTCTACCCCTTTCCCCTACCCAATATGCACCTCGAATCAGCCAGACCTAGCGTCGTTATATATTTATAGAACACCAACTCAATGTTATATTTGTAAGTTCAGCCCAATGTCCAGGCTCAAAGCAGACAGAACAAAAAGAAGTCCACGCTCAAAGCTAGCAGCAGCAGCAGCAGCAACAGCAGCAACAGTTATGTGTGTGTGTGTGTGTGTGCTAAGCAGATTGGCCAAAACTCATTTATTTTGTATGCCCTTGCAAAGGTAAAACTTACTGTAACTTCGCCCCGACCCCCCAGTCCACGTTAACCAGTATTAGATGCAAAGACAAAAAGTGTGTTCGCCCATGGTCATATATATATATATGTATAAATGAGAAAACATATCCTCA